AGAAATCTTCAACCCTAGCTCCAACTCCTCTTCTTCCTCTCTTCTTTCTCTTCTTCACTCAAGAACCCTAACTCTTACTCTTTTAAAATGGAACTAAAATGATCCACAAGAAGCCTAACTTCATTAATATAACCCAAAAGAATTGATTTGTGAAAAGACCAAAATGCCTTTAAATTTCCGGGCGGATTCCCTGCCAACTGCCCAACTTTCAAAGGCCATAACTCACTCTTACAAACTCGGAATTGAGCAAACTTGGTGGCGTTGGAAAGACCATTCCACAAGCTTCGCAACCATAACTGTAAATACTCCTAAATCATCCTGAGCTAGGAGTTACAACTGCTCAAAGTTGGCCAAAATTCACTGATTTCTATACTAAGCAAAATTTCCAAAACTTTAAAATTCTTTCCAAAAATGAAAATTTCCAATTCTAAGCCTCTTCAATTATTTCACATTGCCGGATGTTACAGAATCAACCCAACCCTATGGACTCACATACCTATTAGGGATCACCCCCGACGATAACCATGACGGAACTTGCTTGATCTCCTTGCTCCTTCTTCTCTTTCTCCTCTTCTTCTCCTCTTCACTCTCAAGCCCTAGCTCTCACTCTTTTAAAATGGGACAAAAATGATCCAAAATAAGCCTAACACAACAATATAACCTCAAAAGAAATGGCTAGGGAAAAGACCAAAATGCCCTTAAAATATCCGGACGGATTCCCTGCCAACTGCCCAACTTTCAAAGGGTATAACTCACTCATACGAACTCGGAATCGAGCAAACTCGGTGGCGTTGGAAAGACCATTTCACGAGCTTTGCAACCATAACTGGAACTACACGTAAATCATCCTGAGATAGAAGTTATGACTGTTCAAAGTTGGCCAAAAACTCACCTTTTTCCATACTTAGCCAAATTTCCAGATTTTTAAATCTTTCCAAAAATGACTATTTCCAATTCTAAGCCTCTTCATAATTATTTCAAATCGTCGGTTGTTACAGGTAGGTGCCTTGGAACAAACTCCTCAGTCATTTTACCGTCCCAACTATGTTGCCTTCCATGTGTCTTCTTTTTGCTTTTGTTGCTTCCACTTCTTTGTTGCCAAGGTGATATATCTCCTTCCCTAGCCACTCTATCAAAGCATATGTCCAGCATATCTTCCTCATCTTCATCAAGAGAATCCTAGCCCAAATCAAGCATATTGTCTTCCTCATCTTCATCAAGAGAATCCTCGCCCAAATCAATTGTATTTGACACTAAAGTCCTTGACTCATTCTTCTTTGCAATCACACATTTAGACACAAATACGGAAGGTTCTGGACTTAATTTGCTATTCAAAGTAGTTGGTGAGACCTGCTTTTCTTGGATCAAATCGTTGTCATTCTCTGTTAACTTGTTTTCCAGTAGTCGATAAAACATCGAACATATTCGAACATAATAGGTATCTTTACTAATATATTGCCTCTTCTCACTATCATGAAAATTTCCAGTCGCACCCTTTTCACTGCATGGAGAATTATTTTGACTAGTCGAGGAAAGGCTCCAATTACTAGTTGAATTTTTGTGTGCAACCAGTGTCCAATTTTTAGTTGCATTTTTGGGGTCAACTTGCAAAACATGCTGCAGAATTTTCAGCATCTTCAACATCAGATGTATCTATTAGTTTGTGTCCTGAATCCATTATTTTTTTGCCTGAACCAACTCACGGCGCATCAACCCCAACTCTTGGCGTTCCCCCTTTATTTTCGATAGTTGTTTGAACACCAATATTACTTGTAACAACATCCATTGAGTGTGCACGATTTTGCTCAGAAGTGACAACAACCAACTGTCGATCTAAAGAAGTCGCTTTACTTTGATCGACATCTACAACCTTTCTTTTTTCATTTAGAAAACTGAGTCATTCATTTTATGGACAAAATTTATTTTCATCCAACTTTCTTTTTAAAATCAAACCTCTTTTTCAACTTTCAACAATAATAAAATTTTCCCTTTTTTTCTAATTAAATTATTTCTAATGCATATTATATCATTTCATTATATTTTTTACTTTATTAAGAATCATGATATCTTCGTTATTTTGAATTGATGTTACAATTTTTTCATAAAAATATAAATATTATCTTTTATACGAAAAAGTGAGAAATACTAATTAAATATATAAACTAATGATATTTTATAATGAAGTAAATTAGCATAATGAGAAAATTAATTTTGTTCAGAATAATCAGAACTCTAATATTTATTTATACAAGTGAAAAGCATAGAATAATACCTATAAAAATATATTTAGATATAGGAAATACAAAATAATTAATTTAATTAAGGTCAAAATATTCAAAATGGTATTTATTTAAATTTTATATTGTTTTAAACTATAATTATATTTATGTAATACTCCATTAATTTAATGCCCACCGTTTATACCTATTTATTTTTATGTAATACTCTATTAATTTATAATACTCCATTAATTTAATGCAAATCGTTTATACCTATTATTGGAGATGTGTATAGAGTCATATTTGGAAAAAGAAATCTTAAGTCATTTATTTTGTTAGATCACACATGTCAGTTGTCACCAATCAAAAGGGGTATTGGAGAAATTGGAGGAAAGAGTTACTGAATGGGAGCAGAGTCCGTTAGTACATGTTTGGTTTCCCCATCTTGTAATTCCCTTCTCCGGCCTCCAATTTTATTTTTTTAAAAACTGAAGAAGTGTTGAAAAAATTAATCAGCATGCACAAACTACTATTTAATGAAATGACTTTAGAACACTCTACTTGAAAACTATGTTGTCCAAAAGAAAATAAGAAGAAAGAGAATAGAAGACCTCAATCTCAAAATATAAGTCCAGTGCTTGTTTCGTGTTTCATCTTCTTTTTTTTTCAAGGCATAATACATAATTATACCATTTAACTAAATCTCATTTTATATTTATGGTCTCCAACTTTGAATGTGTATAAATAAACACTTAAACTTGTATAAAGTTGTACAAATAAACACACGTGTCCTACATGACAATTTGAGTCCTACGTGTATTATGCCACATAGGACTCATAAATGTTTTTCTCAATAGGTTTAAAGTGTCATTCCTTTTGTATTTCTGGTTTATTCCTGACTAGCACTTCATAAGAATCAAAGAAATTCTTTTAATTTACCTTAATCAAATATTTAATAGTCAAATTATAAACCTACCCTTCCACGATGCCTCCGAGTGATTCTAATCTGATCAAATACATAACCATATGAATCTATAGACTCATATTGTTATACTTCTATTTCAGACGCAAAAAGTCACCCTAAGCATGCAAGGTCAAAATAGTAAATTGACAACAAAACTAGTTTATCCTTGGTTTCAGGAGTTTATGCGCAAGAAATCATCAAAAACTAATCAATAATCAACCCCAAAATGAATAAATTACCATTTTCTAGTCCTTGTATTAAAAGTTAAAACACCCCGATTTAAGAATAAGACACAACTACCTCTTAGACTATGACTGAAATTTCAGAGACACACCTAAACTTAACTAGGGTCCTATTACCCCCTAAACTAATTTAAAATGGAATAAATACACCACAAACGCTGACATGGCAAGTGATAAGCGCACAAATTGGACACATGTCATTTTTTGATGGGAGAAGCCAAAAGTACCCCCTAGACTATGACTGAAATCCCAGATACACACATTAACCAAACTAAGGTCCTATTACCTCCTGAACTCATTTTATGTATAATATTGTACACCTTTTGGCTTATGTGGCACACCCCGTGACTCCCACAGTTGAGGCGCGTGGGATATATTTGGATGTCACGTAAGTCAAAAAGATGTATACAATTACAAAAAAAAATTAGTTCAAGGGGTTAATAGGACCTTAGTTTAGTTAAGGTGTGTCTCTGAGATTTGGGTCATAGTCTAGGGAGGTACTTCTACCTTTTCCCTAATATGAACAAATAAATGATTGTCCAAATGAAATGCACAATTCAAGTATATTTTGTTTCACTTAGAAAAATAAGATTTTGAACTAATAGTCCATAGATCAAAGATATAATGTCAATGGGATACTAATAAATTATTATACAATAGTATAATCGTAAGATATGAAGATTTTTAGCAAAAGTTGTAACATTATTTAAGATGTTTTCTCCTATGGTGGATGCAATGAGATTTATTTTGATTTGACAATATATGAAAACTTGAATGCATATAATGAATAATTGCCATGTCTAGCTAGACAATGAAGGTTATATGACAACCCTTGAAGCAATCAAGATGTCTGAAACATATAAAGTTTGATAGAAACTTTTTTAATAAAGCTTTAAGAATCCTCATATGGATTAAAATAATCAATAAAGAAAAAGTACAAAAAAGACCTATTTTGTCCTTGCAAAAAGGTCGGGATCTGAATTGTCACGACCCAAAGTAGATCCTAAGTGTAACATGGCATATAGAACCCCGAGCGGCCCTACACAAGCCACTTAGCGTACATCATACAAGATAATAGAAGTAAAGAGTTTAAAAGATAGCATTTCACACAAACGAGTTTGACAAAGCAGAAGTCTAAACATAAGTCTCAAAGTCACCTATTACTTTCTTGATAACCCATATATCACATACAAAGTTTGAAAACGAAAATGACATGAAAGCAATAAAAAGTATTGGCCCTCGGATCATCAGGACTGACCAATCTTCATACTAGTCATCTATGTCAAATTGGAAAAAAAATATACAGGCAGTAGAGTTTATCTCATTTCAAGTTCACACACCTGCATGTAATAGAAAAGCGTATTTTACCCTCAGTTACGGGTATGATATTGTTTCACGCATGGCAGAATTAGGAGGCAGGTCATTTCCATTTACAAGGACTTGTTCCAGAAGATTAACTCGCACAGACTTGAATTGGTAGTGCTGCAGTAAAAATAACAATACATTAGTGAGGGGTGACAAAATTTGGCTGGCAGATTATTATAAATCACACGGGCAAGGCAAATGATTGACATGATCATTATTCTTCCAGCACTTAAACCACCCGTTATCCAATTATTCATTTGGAAACTGGTTGGTGTTATTTAATTCAGAAACTGCAAGAAATGACTTCATGTTCCTGTTTAGGGAAGACCGTTCTGCTTCCAATCAGTTAGAACCAAGAAAAGGGCAGACTGGGACCAGATTAACTCCTATCCTGCTTAGGTAACTTACCAATTTTACCATATCATTGACACCAAATTACCACTGCAAGAGGCTCAAGTACACACTGCCCTGAAGTGTTATAAAGTGGAGTCGATACACAAAATAAAGGGATATGAGCTAATAGAACACATCTAATATGTGGTGCTTACAGGAAAAAAAACGTGATATAGAAAGCAAAATGACATCTTTGTAATAGCATTGCATCTGAAATACCACAGTTATTATAACGAGTTTACCTTTCCTTCCCATTCAAAATCAATAAATTTGCAAATGGGCTCCAATACTGTGACCTGATCTCCTTGTTTAATCTGTCAACAAGAGTAGTTTGTTAAGTAATGATGTGAAAATCTAATCAGGAGTTAGATCGGAAATGCTTACAGAAACTAAATATCAGTAAATTACTCTGATGTAAAACAGTATTGTCATGACTCATAGTTCCTGTGTCATTTTACACTTCTTTTCCTTTTTGTTTCTTTTTTTCCTTGCAGTATCAACTTTTCATAGAGCATGCATTTCTTAAAAGAAGCTTCGTTTATGTTATTTTCATCTTCTTATTCCATTTTAGTAGGAATACGCTATGTGTCACCACGAAAATCTGGAGTAGGATAAATATTCAAAGATAAGACATTTTGAATGAGATGATCACCATTATTAAGAGATATTCAGGCTCACTTATGGATTACTTAAGCGGCAAATGAAATCTTTTTTTCTTCAAGTATGGACAAATGAGAAAATCAAGATAAGAATGGTGTTTGATAGAATGACATAGGAAACAAACTATTCCAATTTATAGAAATATTTTGAAATGCTAACTCACTTTACTATTCTCTCTTTTCATCTTTAGTGTTTGGCTATGTATTAAAGAAGTAGACCACTTTTTTCTTGGAATTAAGATCTTAATGGATAAATGTACCAAGAAACATAAGAACATAATAAAGGGAGGAAAGATCCTTTGCTTATTTTTTAGGCATGTAGTGCTGCAGCAGTTTAGCAGCAAACTAACGTGTCAATATCTGAAATTTATTTGTTGATTTTCTCATCTCGGTTTCCACTAGACCACTTTTTTCTAGGAAGTAAGATCTTAATGAATAAATGTACCAAGAAACAATTAAACAGCATAAAGTAGTGCTTACTGCTTCCTTCTGTATGCCGAACACTGTAAGTACAAAACTATTCTCATCAGAGTCACAGAGCATATAGTATCTGTAGATTAAGAGTACACGTTGAGAAATAAGTATTTTAGTATAAAGTAGGGCTGCACAGACAAGTGAATTTCACTTTTAAAGGAAATGCTGAAAATGATCAACTCGTGTGGGTTCCTCCAAGATGATGTAACTTACACTGGAGCTTTATACTCATATTTAACTAAGCAACGTACTGCTGCTATAACCGCAATCTGTTTGTTAGGGCCTTCAGTTAAGAGATTTGTGGTTGCTCTGTTGTATAGAGGATTCACTGCCAGAAAGCACTCTATTACCTCAACTAATAGATAAATAGGTAAATCATATACCTCATTGTTTACAGTTCAATATCTAAGAAGAATGCAAAGCCTTACGATCAATATTAGGAAGTGACTGGATCAGGGCAGACAAGCTTGTTTCCGTGCTCTTTCCTTTACTCTTTCCCTTACTCTTTCGCTTACTCTTCCCCTTATTCTTGTCATTACGCTTAACCTGAAAAGCAGGATCACATAATTCAATGCATCCTTCACAATCTCATTCATAATGTCTTAACAGCTTCAAAAGAAGAAAACATTTAACAACTGAGAATCTTAAGGCATTATTTTTTAAAGACTATCATAACTTTCCTGTTTCTTTAAAAAAATTCAAGAAATGAAAGAAGAAGAGACAACTATAATGTTACCCCAGGCACCATTCAGTCAATACAGGGATATGCTGTTTTGACTCATTGAACAAATAAATTGGACTATTTAAGGACACAAGAACCGGTCAGTACCTCATCTCCTTTTCTTTTAGATAAATCTAATGCTTAATGCTTAAACCTTTTCCCAAATGGATAACTTTATTGTGCATGAGTACCTTTTGCAAATATATGTAGTGGTAAGGTCTGCGTACACTCTACCCTCCCCAGACACCACTTAGTGGGATTTCAATGAGCATGTTGTTGTTGTAAGTGAAAAGAATTCAGAAAAAAATTCATCAAGTAGGAGAAACTTAACCAAGCTTTCTGGGGTAGCCATAGTAGAGTTACCAAGATGATCAGTTGATCTGTTTTAGCACAATGATACAAATAGTATTACTAACTTAGACACCCAACTTGAATCTTAATTCCGCATAATCTTAACTGCCTATTCCAGTTTCCTAGCCTCTACCTGTTTGGCAATATTCAAAGATTCACCCAATCAACTGCACCTCAAACCTACACATTAAGACAATTTCAGAAATCATAGGAAAACATGACTATTTTTTGGTGTTTTTCTGGTCATACCATAAAACCAAATTTCAAGTTATATCTGTCCCCCCTAGCTATCATTCGTACTTGTTACCTAAAGGTTGTCAGAGCAGAACTTTGTAGATATTGACTGGTTATCTCGGAAACCATTTAAAGGACTGCCTCATCATACATTATGGTATAGCAGGAAACAGAAAGCATTCCTTGGTAACTCTGACGATGAAATCAGTGTTTAAACAGGTTAGAGCTCCATACTAGTAACAGGTAAGTGTGAACACATCAAAGCACCACTATGACATGTTAGGAGTTGGATAGGTCAGATGTTTGCAATTGCAGGAAGTGTTACTCCTTGACTACCTCTTGTAATTAAGTAGTTATCACTGGCCTGCACTTGTAATTAACTACTCACTTCCCTTATGATTCTAATGTTGTCAACCAAGCCGTTCTTAATGCAATGGATTATAATATCACTTACGGATGCTTTATATAAAATAACCACAATCAAATAATCTTACCTGAAGTAATCTTTTTAGTTTGTCAAGAAGCTGGATCGTCACTTTCACTTGATGTAAAGCATCACTAGCAGGATTCTTTAATGCAGCATCTGAAAATCCAGTTAGAGACATCTTGTAGTTCTCCAGATATCTATTCACCTGAAAGAACAGATATCAAATTTCCCAACATGGCATTGAATTTTAGAAAGGGGGAAACTGAAGTCTATATTTAAGATATCATGATATGTGCAAACATAAAATTTGAAGATGAATAAAAGTGAGCTTTTTTAGAGACTATTGGTTCTTTCTTCACTAAGCATAAAACTTTCATGCTTGCTGAAGCCAATTCTTTTAAATCAGACTGTTTTCAAATTGTACTTCCCTATCACACACTTGTTCTTCTAGATAGATTATTTCGTACCAAACTCAATTCAACATGTCACTGATCTCTGCAGATGTTGCAATAGTCATTTACTGAACTTTTTCGTACCAAACATGATTCTTAACTACCAGAAAGAGGTAACTAATTCAATGAATTATTATCAGATTCTGTTTCACGTACAACTTTCTTTTTCTCTGTAAAGCTTCCAGTGCTTCCTTGTCATATTGCAACCTGTGTACATATTTCCTATTTTATGAGAGAATGCTTCTATTTCTAATCATGACTTTTTCCTTTAGTTTACCAACTTTTGTCTTATCTGTAAAGTTTTCAGAGTCTTCTTTTTGAATGGTTTCATTCCTTTGGATCTTTATATATCAACATAGATCCTAATGATTCTCAAACTCTGATAGAGCCAAGATTATTTAGAGGCATTCTCTGCAACCTTTAAGATGATGAAAGGAGGTCTATCTGTGATCCACACAAGAAGTTGCAAACTTATATCCTTCCCTTGCTGCATGGTGCAGTGTACAACCTGATACATGGTCTCCTGTCTTCCTTTAATTTCTTTTTCTTTATGTTTAGTTTTTCTAACTCTTGTTCTTTAAGAACACCATCATAAAAAAACGAGGTGATAATTAGCAACAATTGAGAACCTTGTGTTTTGAAAGATCATGTATATGATACAACAGTTCATAAGTGAAAATCAGTTGTTTCTTTCAATGACTTACCATGCTACAGTCGTATTCAAGATGTGGGTTTGACTTCATTGCATCAATTCTCTTCTGAAATAGAGTAGAAAATCAGAAGAAACCTCCAAGTATCTAAAATAACCAGGCTTGCAGGGAGCTAATACTGTACACATATATTTCATGTTAAAATAAAGGGAAATAAATAAACAGAGACAAGATTGTAAGAACTACTTACAGCTTTTTCGTATGCCTCTAATGCCAGAAGAAGATTATTGTGATCCCATCCTCCCGTCAGAAGAAAGGAAGTGAAATGTCCACATCCTAAGATATCTACCAACCAAATGAAGCTCAGTGAAGGACTTGAAAATTGGATTTATCAAAATGTTTATTATAGCTATAACTGTATGCAGATGCTAGTTAAAGATCTAAGTATAACATACATACTGCGCATATGCTACTTCATGGTTCCATGTAACAAAGTATGGAATTTCTGCACCGTAATCTGTCTTTAATGTCATTGTATGCTACTTCTTGTTGGAAATTTCATTTTTCCAACATTTCTTAACTATAGCTATACAATATGTGACGGGTGAACACAATCTTTGACAAACACCAAGTAAACATTTAGCAAATTGGAAAAGCTGAGAGTGCTAAAGCACAGAATGTGTATGACACAATATCAGAGAATCTCAGAGGTAAGTGATTAAAGCAGTTCCTCTTTTAAGTAAATTCTGTTCGCAGTCTTACATAAACAACCTCCATCCATGTCATCCAGAGCGTGTGTCCTTTCGGCATATTTGATGCAGTCATCAATCTGCTTGGCTGGATTTTCAGCAACTATGAAATAGATATACAATCAGATGAACAGATCCACTAAGAAAAATAAAAGTAAATATAGATTTCAGAATTTTTTCCATGAGTTACTATTATTTACTTAATAAGAGACTGAAGAAATGTATTATACATTTGCTTTTGTTAAATGAAGATTCTAAATTGAAAATGGTAGAAATCATATTCAATTAAAAATCAGAATCCCAGACTGCCAAATTAAGGAGAGAATTAGAACTTCATAGACACAGCTTTTATAATCACCTAAGCAGCGAAATGAAGAGAGTCTAAAACACAAAACAAATAAAAGATGAAGAATTACATTCACCTCGTGCAAACGTCAGTTCAAGGTCTGCAAGTTGACGTAATATTACTGCATTTTCTTCACCCTAAATCAAATAAAAGATGAAGAATCCATTAAATGAAGGGAGCGTTTGAAGTTTAGAGAACAGAAAATTTACGTACTGAAGAAGCAGCAAAATATAACCATTTTAAGGGCAGCCTGATAGTATTCTTTAGCTTCTTGGTAATTTCCTTTCTTGGCAACGCAACAGCCGAGGCAATTCCAAGCATCCCGCAGAAGCGGATCTAATTGAGTCTGGTAGATAAAATTAACAGTGAGAATGAAACCAAACGCAAATTCAACAATCAACAATACATTAAATATGTAATTCTTCTTTCACTCACAGCTTTCAGTAGATGACGCTCTGCTTCCTCCTTATAAACATCAGGAATTGCATTATAAAACCTTCCTTTTAGATACTCGAACATTGCACGTTCACGATTTAATTCTCTCTTCTCTGCATGAATTCGTACCACTTAAACTCACTTGATAAATGAAATTGAATGCGTTTTTTTCTTCTTCTGGATAATCCATACCTTGAGGAACTGATTCGAGGACTTTGATGCACAAATCAATTTGATGCTCGATGTCAGAGATTTTCTGTTCTATAGTTGACGGGAAATGCTGGTCGCCAAAATCGTACATCCATATCGACAGTGCATCCAGCTTTGAAATCCAATCCTCATAGTTGAATTTTTTCAGATGTGCAGAAACTTCTTCAACTGGAGTACTCATCTCCAATGGCGGATTTTGGAAGCAGAAGTGTGAAGTATGTAAAGTTAGGCGGTTTACAACTTTTGGGTGGGAAATTCTGTTTTAAACAGTGTATTGTGATTCTCATGGATCACACTTTCTTCATCTTACTATTTGACGAAATTACCCTGCCACCCCTAATAGTTTTTGTATTCTCTTTTTCACCCCTAATGTTTTAAGCTTAGAATCTCATATTTACCAAGTATTTGAAGAAAGGGAAAATTATGTGGTTAAACAAACGTATACTACTTAATTAGTCATCAAAGCTATAGTTTGCTATAATTATCATTCACAACTAACATTAACAATTAATTAAATGGGTTGATAATTAGCCACGTTTGTATAATTCGCCACATTTGTATAATTCGCAACTAACAATTCATCGTTTGATTTGTATTGGTATTCGATGGTTTGTATTTGTATATGTAGATGATTTCCTTTGATTTTTCAGTTTTATCACCATATATATTCAATCTTTTTGTGTATAACTTCTTAAAGTTTGTATAAACGTGTAGTTTTCGGATTTTATATAGTATAAGCTATATAATGTAATTTGTATAATATAATAATTTGTATAATTGTTTAAAGTTCATATGCTTATGTTTGTATCAATTCGTTATTTCAAGTTTTATCATATTTGTATAATTTCAGACTTTATATTACTCAATTATCAAAAACACGCAAATTATTCAAACAAGATGTGAATTATACGAATTATTACTCTCTCTCGCTCACCTCTCTCCTCCCTCTCCCAATCTCACTCGCCAGATATACAAATACATATGTATACCAGTTACATCTATATAATTATCTAGCCGATATACATATACAATTCACATCTCTCCCACTTTCTACCCTCTTTCGCTCGCCTCTCTCCTCCCTCTCCCAATCTCGCTCACCACTCTCCTCCCTATAACTTGTAGCTATGAATCGTAATTAGCAAACTATAGCTATGGGGCATAATTAAGCTAATTTTGAATTGCTATATGTGAAAGTTCCCCAAGAAGAAATTACCTTGTCCCACTTTTGTTACTTTTATGAACATACTAGTGAGGAAAATTTGTGTTATGCACAGACCTAATAATATTAATTTTTATAGAAAAAGGAAATATATTGGAAAAATTATCTAATTACACAAAAAAAACTTAATCATATTTTCTAAAATTCACTACCATTTCATAATATTACAAAAATCTCTTTTGTCCTCACCTTCTTTTTTTTCTCCAGATACATCACTGTTAGGGATGTCAAAAATGAACCCAACATAGGTAACCCGCCCAGAATTTAAAGGGTTGGGCTCAAGATAATTTGAATTGGGTTCAATCTCAACTCATTCAAGCCTAACCCATTTTAATAGAATCCTCAATTGAGCCCAATTCAATCTCCAATTTCAACCCGTTTTAAAACGCTTTACTAAGATATGTTCCTATATTAAAGGTATGAATTATTATCTATTTAACATCTTTTAGGATTTATCTATCCATTTGTTACATTTTTAAAAAAAGAATTTAAGCTGAAATTCGCATTGTGATTATAAAAGTTAAATATCACTATGTTAAAATTATTGAGATTAATCAAGGTCAAATTGGGCGGGTCAAGACCCAACCCGTTTTTTTAGCCCATTTGAACCCAACCCATTTGAGCCCAAACTAAAACTTGGGCGGGTCAAGATCAACCCGATTTCGATTTCAACCCATTTTAATATCTCCAATTTCAACCCAACACGCCCATTTGACACCCTTAATCACTTTTAACCCTTCTCACGTCACGATATTTGTTCCTATTTTTACGCCTAAAATCACTCTGATGTGCAAGTTGTTACCTCCAATCCTCCATTTTTGAATTTCAATTGTATTCTGTTTCTATTCTTCATCTTCCTACAGAAGTAGAACTATTTTTTCATCAATTTTTTTCTTCCAATTGTTCAGTTATAAATTATTATTATTTTTCAATTTTAGTTTTTTCATCTGCAATTTTTTGATACATATGTATTCTGGTCCATTTTTAGTATTGAGTCAAGAACCATACGTAACGTCATTGTTACAAACGGTAGATCTCGTCCTCGTCTTTATGATTCAGAGTCGAAGAAGGATGCATTTCAAGTTCTTAAATAAAAATATAATTTCTTCTTTTCAACTTCATGATACATTACCATTTTATCATGTACAATGTATATCGTGTTTAAATATTAGTTTTGCTATATAATCCTAATTTATTGAAACACAAATTAGTATGTATCATGTTCATAGTCATGTATTTGATACATAACTATTATAAATTTTATTATCTTTTACTACCAGATACATACACCCAGACTTATTCAATTAGAAGGCTATGTATCTGTAGACATTATCAAATATTATTGTGATACATAATTATTAATGTCTTACCCAATTAGTTGCACAAATGGAAGATTCAAATGATGATAATTTTCATGAAAATAGATTCAAACAGCGAAATGATCCGTTAATCATGAAGAAATTGCAAGAGAAAAAGTCAAAATATGATGCATGTTCAAGTTCTAATTAAATCGCCCGCTGAAAATGTTTTCAAAAATGGGGGGAGTAGAACATGTTACTTACACCTTTCTCTATCAAAGATTTAGATTTTTAGTGTATCTAATTATTTTTTATTCTTAAATTCATGTATAATGCCTACATTTTAATATTATGATACATTATACCCTTATCATATACAATGTATTGCGTTCAAATAAAAGTGTTTGATACATAATCCTAATTTATGAAAACATCAATTAGTATGCATCATGCGCATAGTTATGTATTTGATACATAATACAAATTTCTTTATCATTTAGTACCAGATACATAAACCAGTCTTATTAAACTTAGAAGACTATGTATTTGTACACATTATTAAAACATATTCTTGATACATAAGCCCTGCTATTTTATAACTAAACCAATATGTATTATATTCACAGTTTCTTTGTATATTATATATAACTATGTCAAATTGTCTATTTGAATATGTATCAAACGTTGTTATGTATTTGTAGCCCTCTAAGTAACATTTTAAGACATGCCTTGACTATTTTTATTTAACGCAATGTATATCAAATTCAATAAATTTCAAACTTTATTATATGTATTAGATACATAACAACTAATCACAATGTTCTGTATCAATCACAAAAAATGTTATTGAGAACAATTACATATATAATGCATCTTTTATAAAATACACTATTTTCCAATCAGAATAAGATACATAAATAGTAATGTATCATGCACAATTTTATGGACATGATACATAAATACTAATTTATACTACATGTAGTTGATACATAAAATCTACTACACTGTAATATATCAATCTCAAAGCGAATATCTTATAGACAACAATTACTTGTTTAATGTATCAGTAAGAATACAATATTTATCAATTTAAATAAGATACATAAATAGTAATATATCATGATAAATCTATCAACCTCGAAAAATTGATTCCTGAATATCTTAGCAAAATCGGGATATTCATGACGTATCTTCTCCAAATATTTAAAATTGAAAGAATATTGGACGATCTGCTTGAAGAAATTTGAAATTTGAATTTGAGAAGGAAGTTGAGGAAGCTGATTCATTTGGTTTAGACCAGTTCTTGTCAGAGATTAATAAGAAAAAAAAAGTCATTTCAAATGTTGGTAGTGGAGGCACCATGAAGGCTAGTGTTGAATCCAGACGAGATGACTATGAAAGATCAAGCAAATCTAGTATTGCTTACGACAAAGGGCATTGAATTGTCTTCCAGCTAATGTTCCTGGCCTTTATTTGTTTATCTTTTGTCACGATTCAGACCGTCGTGATTGGCACCCACACTAACTCTCCGGTGGGAGAACTACTACTACAACCCAAACCAAGCAACTAAACCAAAACTAAGGCATTTAAGTTACAGAAGCAAGTTAAATACTAATGAAATAAATAGGGAGTTCCCATAAACTCCAACAAAAGTCTAACAACGAACTAAACAATGCGGAAGAAATAATCTAGAACCTGAAAGTCAATGTACCAAAACATTCTAACAATGAGCCAAGACTAAACAAGAAAGGGACACAACCCCAACTAATGAACTAATCAACTAGCTAAAACAAATGTCTAAGTCCGGAAATGGTGGACATAGACGAAAGAGAATCCCATGGCAGGCCAGAAGAATTGGCTCACCCTTAAATTCGAAGCGACGATCACTGATCTTCTAAGCAAGGTTTGTCAATAGCCGTTTGAAGATGCCATGTACTCAACAAAAATAAGAGCAAGTGCAGTATCAGTACACAACCACAGTGTACTAGTAGGATCACACAGCTATCCCACTAGTGCAACATAAGCAAGTCAAGACAATATTATAATCACATGCATATATATCAATATATACAATATTATCAACATTTACGAACAATGAACAACTTCACATTATCTATCAAATCATTGGTCCTCTCATGGAACCCAAACCCAAACAGTTAGCATGCCGAAACGTGACAACCGATCCCATATTTATGTCGAAACGTGACAACCGGTCCCATTTTTATGCCGAAATGTGGCAACCGATCCAAGTTAGTTATGTCGGAATGTGGCAACCGATCCATTCAACACACCACAATCACAATCACAAGTATATCATCAAGATCATACATTTAAGTCATGATTTCATGGCAATCATCATTCCTCTATCTCTTCTATAACAAATGTGATCAACATTGCAACATTCATGCATATACAAGTATCATAA